CTTGAAGTAAACTTCTGACATACGAATAGATGAATGATATATTGGATATTTCAAAAATCATGTGTTTTGGAAGTACTTTAAGAGAAAATTAAAAATATATATATTATTGGGAGACTACTGAAGATAACCAGTGCTAAGTCATCTATGAATCTATGCTTCAAAGCTACTCAACTCTAAGTCTAAACAGTCCCCTCTCCCCATCTGCCCTGGGCCAGGAACTGAAAGAATCCTTAAATTAATCTGAATTCAATTTTATTGCCTTTTTAAAAACTTCTCTTTGGAAATAGGATTATATTTCTACTGAGGCATGCTGTTCCTGAAATAGCATACTATTTCAAGTCATGCTTAGAAGTGTTGGGGAAGCACCATCTAGTTCGTTTCTTTAGTTCTTGCTGGCCAGAGTCCAATGTATTGCGTTCTCGATGTAGCTGTTCGCATGAAGTAAGCAAAAGAGAAAAGGGATGGATATAAATAGATTGGCCCTATGATAGCATCAGTTTCCACCTGATAGCTGTACCCTCATATACATCAGTGGAATTTCTCTGCTTCACTGATGCATTTCCCGACAGATTCTATGAAAGGCCCAGCTTCATCTAAAATGATACCAACAATAACACACTAATACTGTGATGATAAATAAGCCATTTATTTTTACCAGGATTAATATGCTATAATCAGAGAAAGCTCTCAGATACTACTTGATGTCTACCAATAGGCAAAAAAGAAACTGATAGTACCTGACTCAGGTGAGAATACAATGACTCAAATGTTTCACTGGTGGAAGGGTAAAATGATATGTCTCTTGGAAAAATAATTTATCAAGAACCTTTTTAAAACATTCACACCTTTTAATCCTGCAATTCTACTTCATGGAATCTGTCTAAAGCAAACAACTTTAAATGTGATAAAGGCAATGTAATCATTGCAGTACAACAGTGAAAAAAAAGTAGACTAAATCTCTAAGACTCAGGGATATACTATGATAAATCCACTCAAAGACTATTATACAACCATTTGAGTTATGTAAAGTGTATATGATATTAAGAACTATGGGAGAAAAAAGTAAGATGTGGTTTAATTACAAACCAGAAGAAATACTTCCACCCTCAATTTACAGTAGTTATTCCTGGGTGACAAGATATGTATGCTTTTTTAAATTTACTTTTATGCAGTGAAATTTTTTTCTCCTAGTTTAATAATGAATAATGAAAAGTTCACAATAAAATTAAATTTAAAAAATGTTTTTATTTTAAAGTATAAAATGCTAGCCAACATATCAAGCATTTTGGTGGTAGTTGCATGAATATTATATAAAATTATAAAAATTTTATTCCCTGTTCTTCTTCATATGTCTAGTTGGAAGGAACTACAGTAGTCACTCACTATCATACTTGCTGAAATCACAAAGACCTGAATTTTAATCATGCCTGTCACATATTAACTCTGTGATCTTGAGTAAATTGCTGCACATTTTATCTGCCTCAGTGTCCTCAAAAACAAAACAAACAAAAAAACAACAACAACACACACACAAAATAAACCCTGGGAAAATAATACCCACTACTCAGGCTTGTTGTAAATCATCAAAATATTGACCCTGGTACCTAATGCTTTTGCTTATTATCAGGAAAAATAGACATCATATTATAAGAATGGAATCAAATGCAAAAATCAGGCTAGTTGGGTCTTTATGGCCAAAGGCATTTCAAGTCCTGTTTAGTCATCCTAAAGGTATACATGCAACCTGGACGCTTGTGAATTTAATATTAGCCTTTTTGTGAGCACTTTAAGAAGCAACAAACGAGCAAAATAGCAGGAGCTGACTATGTAAGTAATCAAGAGTTTTTATGCAAATAAGTAAGCCACATATCTCAGCTTGAATATGGAGAGAAGTAGCATTGTGAAACAATAATCTGAACACTTTAGTGTTATAAAAATTCCTAGACAGGATGAAGGACAAGTTTCTTAGATGACATATGCAGGCCACTTTTTTTTTTTTTTTTTTTTTTTGCAGGTCACTCTTGAACTGAGCTGAAAAGTACTGGTCTACCTAAAAGCAAGGAACAGTAACAACAAAACAAAACAAAACAAAAAAAATGCCTAAATGCTTATAAATAAGCCTTCCAAATTAGGTATTTCTAAAAGAAAATGATAAGCAGGTTATGAGTAGATACCCTTTTTATCTGACCTATCTATCTATGGTGGGAGTAAAAAAAGTCCCTTTTAGAGTTATTTAATTACAGGGTAGGAGTAGAGGAATCCAATTTAACCATGTGACTGATTTATGCTGCAGTTAAAAGGACTGTCATGACATGAATGTTGTACAGTGCTCCTTCTCTTAGTAACGTACAGCATTTTTACAATAAAAAAGTGTTTAATGCAGCAATTTGAGCTGAGAGCAGGTTGGCCATGCAGCTATTCAAGTGGAAATAACAATACTGTATTATGAAGTCACTGTTCTACCTTGGAGGTAAGGTGAAAAGCAAACCATAAGAAGAAGTCTGATCTAACCCAGATTTGTAAAACTGGCATCACTTCTTCGATGTCAGCAGACGGTTGACTGAGTTTGCCAATCACTGCTCTAACCAATGGACCTACCAGTTCAGTGCTCACCAGCTAATCTTAAGTGTTTCTCAATGTGGTCCACCTAAGAAGCTCCTGAGGTGCTTGTTAAGACTGCTGATTATACCCTCATACATTCTGAATCTAGAAGAGTGCTGTTGTATGAATGACTGTGTACCTCTCAACATTCATGTTGCAATCCTAATTTCCCCTGTGATAATATGAGAACATGTGGTCTTTGGAAAGTGATTAGGTCATAAGGACTGAATCCTCCTGAATGTAATTATTGCTCTTATAAAAGAGTCCCAAGAAAGCTCCAAAAAACGTTAAAAGAAAAGGCAGCCGTCTAGGGCCTGCTGGTACCTTGATCTTGAACTTTCCAGCCTCTGGGACTGTGAGAAAAATTCCTGTTACTTAAGCGATTCAGTCTGTGGTATTTTGTTATAGCAACCTAGACAGACCAAGAACGAAGAGAAGCCCTAAAAGTCTGCCCTTAATTATGATTCTTAGGAGGCTTTTCGACTTGAGCTTGACCTACTTCAAGATCAGCATAATTATTTAGCTTCAAATCGTCAGCCACCACAATCCCTCTGGATTCTTTGATTTCCTACCTCAGAGATAACACAACTGTAATACATGTCAAATTCAATTATATCCTACAATTAAATAAAAAAAACTTCTGGCTGATATCATATTTACAGAGAAGAAATCAGTGCATTACAACTAGCAAAGACTGACAAGGAATGAAAACTAAAGGAAAATTTAAGGGGTAGACAAGCTCCTGGACAGACAGGACATAAACTCTGAGTTGCCCCAGCAGTACCATGACCAGAAGTTATGCCTGTGTCTACACTTCTAAAGCTTCTCTTTATGTGAGAATTTAAAACATTAAATCAACCTTAAGTCCCTTGCCCTTTTAAACAAAAAACTGAAACCTAGGAATAACATATTTACTTCTCTTCATATATAATGAGCTACTTCAGGTGAAAGGTAGAATTTGTCAGGAATTGCTTTGAGGATGATGGTTGAGCCCAACACCAGATATCAGAGGTGTTTACTTACCTCCTAATTAATAAAATTTTGCAAAGCCTTTTGTGTTATGGTATAAAATTTTGCTGAATTACTATTACTTAGAATTTACCTGGCATTGAGAAGAATTAGCAAAAGTCCCCTGCCTCCTGGAGACTTTAAAATCTTTGGGGGTGGGGTAATAGATAAGTAAATGGAAAACTGGGGGAAAACATAATAAGGAAATACTCTAATAAAGATAATAAGGATGCATTCTAATCCAAATTTAGATGAGATAGGTAGAGCAGTGGGAACAGCATGAGCAAAAAGCCAGAGGCAAGAGAGAGAAAGCATGGTCAATCCAACTGTAAGAAACTGAGTGTGTTTGACCTTCTAATCCAAAGAGTATGTGGGAGAGCTGAAGGTCTAAGAAGTAGGTAGAAGCAAGATTATGAGGGCTCTTACAAACTGTTAAAAACTTTCCATTTAATCCTAAAAGCAATGGGGAACCATCAAAGAGTTTAAATGAATGAAGTCAACATGCTTTTGTGACACATAAAGATTGTTCCCTGATAAAATCTAAGTGGGAGCTTGAGTAAGTATTGAGTAAGTTTTAGATAGGGCAGGGCCTGGAGCTGAAGATAAGGCAGGAATGAGCAATGTGGTCACAGGTAATTCCAAAGTCTGCACACTCCCAGTTTGGGAGTGAGGGGGGAGAAGGGGTCATTTCATAGCAGCTGACCATGTAGTCAAATATTATATGTATGAGGTTAGTCAGGTGCCTTCTGCAAATGCTTTCACACAAACACTATTCTTTGAGTATACAGCACATAGCAAAGTGTAGTATTTCCTCATTGCTTTTGGTGCTTATCATGTTCTTAAATATAAAATTATGCTCCCTCCCATCATGTGTCAATCACTAGCATGCAATCATGTCAGTTTCAGGACTAAGAAAATGTTCTTCCACATGCTCAACCAACAAGACAGGACTTGCAAAAGTAACTTCTTACTCAGGTGAGATATGTTTTTGAGCATCCAAGAATGGCTGCACTGCTGAGGTTATAAATGTTATGACCGAGTTCCTAAGACTTTACATCCACACCTCAAAGCTGAAATAAACCTTTAAAAAGTTTTATCTTGCTTAATGCAACAGATTTACTCCAGAAAAACTATGTATAAATGTTTTTAAACTAAGGTGTGTTTTGAAAACATTTGGAGAGCATTTTCTACTTCAGAAAAGTTTAATGATTATTTATAAAGATCAAATCTTGTATTATATATTTTCTCAAGTGAGAGATATACTGTTTTGTTCTCTCCTTGCCAGCTGAGAGAATAGGATACCCCCAGGGTCATCTCTTGGAAAGTGCTTGAGTCTCTAAAGATATGCCACAACCACCAGGGCAGACATTATAGAAACTGATGAGCTCCACAGATGTCCTTAGTTTGGAACCCTCGTTTCAATGGACTGGGCCATTAGTGAGCCGTCTGAGTAGCCTCATGTAACTGAACAGCATCCATAATACCCTTTTTCCCTGCTACCCTTCCAGCAGATTCATCTAGGGAGGACATGGGATGTAGTTCTGGCGATGATACCCAAGCAGACTTGGCCAGGTGGAACCTCTGGCAAAGCTTGACTGAATTGGTTGACATGCCGCATTGGAATATTATTCATTTGCACTTCACTCTCCTCCCTCGTCACAGACCTGATGCCTGGTTAGCAGCCATCCGATAGCCTAAGAAAGAAAGATGGTGGCAGGGGAAGTATGAGCTTAGCTTCCCGAAGACATCATGGAGCTGCTCATGAGCTCTGGATTGCATGCTCTGGACATTTGCTGAATGAAACAAGGGAATCCCTATGCTCATTAAGGGTCTATTGGTTGATTTTTGTTATTTTTAGACCACCTTACTTTTAATCAAGACCCTGTATTTCCATTGAAACTTCTCTGACTATAACACACCAAGTTCCGTTGCTACTGAGAGTATGTGGAATTCTCTGGTGATTTACTAACACGGTTGAGAACCAGCAAACCATAACCACCAAAATGTAAATGTTTAGAGTAACGTGTATTGTCTCCTTCTATAAAGATATTAATGAAAGTAGAGGAGGTTGGGTGAAAGTCAATGGGGGGAAAAAATAAAAATAAATAAATAAAATGGGGGGATGGGGGGAGAAAGACACCAATGGGATCTATGTTGGTACCAAAAAAAGAGCAGGAAAACAAAACCCTAGTACACACTGCCTAGGCATGTTGTCCAAAATTACTGTCATTTAGTTGAGCTTGATTAGTCAAGCATTAAAAAAGGCTGAACCCTGCATGCAAACGCAGAAGTGGCACAGTAGCCCAAGAGAAAAAAAATTTTTTTCCAGAAAAAAAACACCAAAATGTTTTATGGACAATTCTAGGTAAATTAAAGTTACACCTTGATACGCACTGCACAAACCAGCCAAAAGAGCCACTAGGAATTGCATAGTTAAGCAAACATAGTATGTGGGCTAAAGATTGCAACAGCTATACAAATGTACAACCTGCCTGGCAGGCTCCAGGATTTTCAGACTAGTGTCTGTGCACGTGACTAAAGGTCATTTTAGGATATTCCAGACGGCAAACTTATACTTGTGCGCAAATGTGTATTTATATTGTCATTTAAATGCCTATAAAACACAGGTAAGTACTTATTTCTGTTCAAGGAGGTAGTGTGTGTGTCTAACACACTGAACAGACCATTGCCTTCTCATTCTCAGTCCCATCTAGAAGCTCCAGCTGCATTTTGGATTCTCTGTGTACAGCAGGCTCTTGTATAGTTATGGAAGCCTCCTAAGCCATTACATCGGATATTATGTGTAAGGGCTTCATCTTGGACGATGGATTAAAAGCAATGAAACATGTAAAACATCTGCCACAGTGATTTTCAAATCCCTGCAAACCGCAGGGTGTTATGCACCAGGACTGGCATTTCCACGGAGAGAGACTGCTCCAGAGAGGGGAGCTGACATGCTTACTGAAAGATCGAGGAGTCTGGGCTACTTAAATCTCGTTGTTTGGATTATTTTTTAATCTGAACTGTTCAAATCGTCTATTTATAGTGTTTAAAATTGGCCATAGGATTTCCAAATCTCCAGTTTACTTTACCACATACCCAATTTTCCCCCTGAAAATTAAATTGCCTAATATAAACATAATGAGTATTTAGAATTATCAGGGACAAATGCTAGTTTCTACTGTGTAAGTAAATAAAAAATAGAACAAGCCCTGGCTCGTTTGCTCAGTGGTTACAGTGTTGGCCCGCAGACCGCAGGGCCTCAGGTTCAATTCCCAGTCAAGGGCACGTACCTTGGTTGAAGGTTAGATTTCTGGCCCCAGGGGGAGAACGTAAGAGGCCAACGGTGTGTGTGTCTCTCAAGTCAATCTCTCTCTCTCTCTCTCTCTCTCTCTCTCTCTCTCTCTCTCTCTCTCAGCCTCTCCTCTTTCCCTCCCTTCCTCCCTCCCTTCCACTGTGGCTGAAAATCAAAGGACAAAATTTCTTTAGGTGAGAATTAAAAAAATAAAATAAATAAAAGCCTCCAGCTGATTTGTGCCAGGACCAGTTTGGCTCAATGGATAGAGCATCGGCTTGGGGACTGAAAGGTCCCGAGTTCGATTCCGGTCAAGGGCATGTACCTTGGTTGAGGGCATATCCCCAGTAGGGGATGTGCAAGAGGCAGCTGATCGATGACTCTCTCTCATCGATGTTTCTAACTCTCTATCTCTCTCCCTTCTTCTCTGTACAAAATCAATTTAAAAAAAAGAAGAAAAAAAGCCTCCAGCTGATTTGTTTTTCAAAAGTATTTACTGAATGCATATATTCATGAAAATTACCCATGGGGGTCTATTTAAAACCAGGAATTTTGGTTTTCTAGATCCACTGCTGGAAGGGAACGTCCATGAACAGCTCAGTGACTCTGGCAAGGAGGGCCTGAAGCCCCCACTTTGAGAAACACTGGTCTATAATGTTCGAAGGGAACAAATCTCAAACTGCGCAGTCTAGTGAGATAGATAAGTAAAACAATTCTATTTTGCTTTCTAAACATATGCAAGAGGTGTGAAGAGGATGGGAGAAGACATAAAAAGGAAGGCAGGAATGAATTTCTCCTGCAGAAATCAGAAATCACCAGTGTCAGAAGAGAAAAATGAGAGAAGAGGCGCTTTGGGGAGGAAGGGCAGGGGGGACCGCACTCTGTGGGTGTCAGAGACCTGCACAAGGACTGAGGAATGACCAAGGCACCTGATGCGGAAGAAGGAAATGAGGCTGAGGAATTAAGCTGAGGTAATTCAGTATCCTGGACGACTTTCTATACCCGCATGGGGCTACTTTGAACTTTTTATCCTGAAGGTGTAGGAGGCCACTGAGGGTGTTAAGTGGAGCGAGGAGGGCGAGAGTCAGATTCAAGTTGTTAAATGCACACCAGGCAACAGTCACAGAGAGAACCGAGAGGAATGTGACCTGAGGAAGGTGGAGAGGCCAGGTAGCTGCAATTTCATCAGAGAAGATGCCTGTGCTGGTGAAGAC